TTAGTATTATTATTATGATTATGAGTATGATGATGATTATTATTAGTAGTAGTAGTAGTATTAGTATTATTATGTGTCCTCCTCCTCCTACTCATCATCATCATCATCATCATCATCATCATCATCATCATCATCATCAGCATCATCATCATCATCATCATCATCATCGACATCATCATCAGCAGCAGCATCATCATCATCATCGTCATCAGCAGTAGCAGCATCATACTCATCGTCGTCATCATCATCATCATCATTATCATCATCATCATCATCAGTGCCATCATCGTCAACAGCATCATTATCCTCATCATCATCAGCATCATCATCAGCAGCATCAGCATCATCATCCTGCCCACTTCCTCACTGTGCTTCTGCTCCTCCCCCCTCCTCCTCCTTCTCCTCCTCCTCTTCTTTTTCTTCTTCTTCTTATGAGTATTATTATTAGTTGTCCTCCTCCTCCTCCTCCTCCTCCTCCTCCTCCTCCTCCTCCTCCTCCTCCTCCTACTCAGCATCATCATCATCGTCATCCTCATCAGCAGCATCATCATCATCTTCATCAGCAGTAGCAGCATCATACTCATCTCGTCACATCATCATCATCATCATCATCATCATCATCATCATCATCATCATCATCATCATCATCATCATCATCATCATCATCATCATCATCATCATCATCATCATCATCATCATCATCATCATCTTTATCATCATCATCATCATCATCATCATCATCATCATCCTCATCCTCATCCTCAGCAGCATCATACTCATCAGCATCGTCATGAGCATCGTCACCAGCATCCTTATAGCATCAGCATCAGCATCAGCATCAGCATCAGCATCATCATCAGCAGCATCATCATCATCGTCATCATCATCATCATCATCATCATATGCATGATCACGTTCATCATCAGCATCATCATCAGCATCATGATCATCACCAGCATCAGCATCAGCATCATCATCAGCATCACCATCCACACCATCAGCAGCAGCATCATCATCGTCATCGTCATCAGCATCATCAGCAGTACCATCATCACCATCATCATCATCATCATCAGCATCATCATCAACATCATCATCAGCATCATCATCAGCATCATCATTAGCATAATCAGCATCACCATCATCATAACCACCACCAACAATAACATTAGCATCCTCAGTATCAGCATCAGCAGCGGCATGATCATCACCATCATTGCCATCGCCATCGCCATCACCATCACCATCATCATCCGCATTATCATCATCATCAGCATCATCATCATCATCATCAGCATCATCAGTGTCATCACCGTCAACTGCATCAGTATCCTCATCAGCATCAGCATCATCATCAGCAGCATCAGCATCATCATCCTGCCCACTTCCTCACTGTGCTTCTCCGCCTCCACCCCCCACCCCCCACACCGCGCTCCTCTTACTCCTCCTCTTCCTCCTCCTCGTCCTCCTCCTTCTCTTCCTCCTCCACCTCATCCTCGTCCTCCTCCTACTTACCCTCCTCCTCCTCCTCCTGCCCACCTCCTAGCTGTGCTTCTCCTCCTCCCCCCCCCCCACTCCCATCATCATTCGCCTCCTCCTCCTGCACCTCCTCCTCCTCCTGCTCCTACGCCTTCTCCTCCATCACCGCTCGCATCCGCCTGCACTTACAGCTGGGTCGGATTAACAGGTCCCTCTGCAACATCAAGTATACAAGTGTGTCCTGTGCGTCGCGTATCGTATCTTCTTCATGTCTGGGGCACGGCTTGCCGTCAGAAGAGACTTGTCCTTTCAGACGTCCTCTGCAACCAGTCCCGACTGCACTCCCCCATGCTCCTCTTGTTCCTCGTTGTTCCCATGCATCAGCCCTGGATCGGATCGGCTGCGACAGGATGCACAGCAGCGCCATGCAAGCATCGGGTCACGTCGGATCGACGAGAAATGTAATCGAATATGATAGAGCTGGTCGGCATCGAAACCGACATTGAATCGGATCGGTCGGGCCGAAACAAGCCCTAAAGGGTGACGGATGTCGGGGTCGCGGATGAAGGACGCCCATCTCCTGCCTACAGGGGGGACAAGGTTGCAGGGCTGCTGACAGGTGCGTTGTCCCGCCGACTGGGCAATGGACAGTGCGGCTCACCGCAGCGCCAGGCGCCAGCAAAGAACCTGCAAACAATGCTTGGGAGGACAGGCAGCCCACCCACCAAGTCCAACACCAATGATGGCAGCAGCTAGTTGGTTCGGAGCGAGGGGACCATGAGCAGCATGGACCTTGGTTATAGACCAAGGGCATGGCGAGGATCTCTCGCAGGGGGAACTCTCTCAGGAGAGTCTATATGTATCCTCCTCGTCCTCGCCCTGCGGCTCGCGATCCTGCTCCCTCCTCCTCATCATCATTATCCTCCTCGCCCTTGTGCTCCTGATCGTCCTGCCCTCCTCTTCCTCCTCCTCACCCTCCTCGTCCTCCATTCTTTTTCCTCGTAGGCAACTTCTCCCTGTCGCACACCGAGGCCAGCTTTTAGGGCGGGCGGGGCGTTACTCTGAAGCTTAAAAATTGGCGACAGCTTCACGGATTGAGGGCGGGTGGCTTTCAAAATGTGGCTCTCGCCTTAGCGCGGCGCACATTCCTTTTTGTTCCAGATTTGCGAGAGCTTCACGGATTGAGGGCGGGTGGTTTTCAATGTGGCTCTCGCCTTAGCGCAGCGCACATTCTGTTTTCCACATTTGCCAGAGTTTCACTGGTTAAGGGCGGGTGGTTTTCAAACTGTGGTTCTCGCACTAGCGCGGCGCACATTCGTATTTTCTATGATGCACGAGCGTCAGGAATTGAGGGCGGCTTGTTTTCAAAATGCGGTTTTCGCTTTAGCGCGGCGCGCATTCGTACTAAACAGCTGCAAGAGGTTCACGGATTAAGCGCGGGCGGTGTTCAAAATGTGGCTCTCGCCTTAGCGCAGCGCACATTAGTTTTCAACAGATGCCAAGGTTTCACGGATTGAAGGCGGCTGGTTTTCAAAATGTGGCTGTCGCTTTAGCGCGGCGCACATTCGTTTCTAAAATTGCAAAAGTTCCACGGGCTCCCATCATAAACGTAACAAAAACGGTGTTTTGGAATGAATCAGGATTATGCGGGCGCAATAGGTACGTTGATTCTCTGTGTTGAAGTCCTAGGAATGGCGTTCTGGCGCGACTCGGGATCGTCAAGGCGCAACAGTCAGGTTGATCCGTGGCGTTGGAATCCCGAGAAACATGTTTTGGCATGCTTCAGGGTCTTCAAACGGGTGTCTTCCAACGAGTCAGTTCCATCAGTGGAAATGAACCGTTGTAGGGGCCTACGAAAGGGGAAATGTGAAGGAGGGTTTACTCCAGCATCGTTGATGACTCTTGGGTTTACAGTGGTTCTCCTCCTCCTCCTCCTCCTCCTCCTGCTCGCCCTCCCTCCCACCTCGCCCTCATCGTCCTCCTCCTCCTCCTCCTGCGCCTCCTCCATTCCGTTTTCTCATATATGATGTATATATACATATATACATATGTGTATACATATAAATTCCGTATATACACATTAGTAATAATGCTAGGTATACGTACGCACACACATACATATAGATATATATATATATATATATATGCGTGTATGTATATAGCTAAACAAGAACATGTCGCACCCCGAGGCGTATCGGTAGGGCGGGCCCGGCGTTTCGCCTGAGACTTCCTCATCACTTCTGTTTCGTAAAGTGAAGATGTGCAAGAGTTTCACGGATGGAGCGCGGGTCGTGGCTCTCGCCTCAGCGCCGCACACATCCGTCGTAAATATTTGCAAGAGCCTCACGGATGGAGGGCGGGTGGTTTTCAAAATGCGGCGCTAATCTCAGCACCGCGCACATTCGTTGTTTTGAAGACTGCAAGATCTCCACGGATGGAGAGCGGGCCGTTCTCAAAATGTGGTTTTCGCCTCAGCGCCACGTACTTGCGAATCGCTTCACGGAAGGAGGGCGGTTCCTTTTCAAAATGTGGCGTTTGCGTTAGCGCCGCGCACACTCGCTCTAAACATGTGCAACAGTTTCACGCTTCACGAATGGCGGGCGGCTCTTTTTCAAAATGTGGCTCTCGCCTTAGCGCCGCGCACATCAGTTATACAAGAATATCAAGGATCATCGCGGCGAATTTCCCACAAATGGTGATTTGGCACGATGCCGGACTGTCCAGGGACAACAGTTACATTGATTCGCGGCGTTGAAGACCCAAGAATTGCGTTCTGGCGCGGCTCAAAATCAGCAAGACGCAACAGTAACGATGACTCGCGGCGCTGTCGTCCCAAGAGTAATGTTCTGGCACAACTCAGGAGTTCTCTAACGGTTGTCTTCCAACGGGGCACCTCCCTCAGTGAAAATGAATCCTTGTATGGGGCCTATCAAAAAATGAAGGGAGGTTGTATTGCAATTTCGTTTTCGAAAATTGGGTTTGCATTGGTCCCCCTCCTCCTCCTCCTCGTCGTCCTCCTCCTCCTCCTCCTCATCCTGATCCTCTTCTTCTTAGTATGATTCTTATTCGCATTCGTATTATTACTACTTGTCGTATGATTACGATGATTATTATTAGTATTGGTATTACTATTATTACTCGTCGTATTAGTATTATTATGTTTCTTATTGTTATTCTCATTATTACCATTATTGTTATTCTTGTGTTTCGTGCTATTATTATTCGTCGTCCTCCTCATCTTTCTCCTCCTTCTCTTCTTCCTCCTCCCCCTCCTCCTCCTCATCATCATCATCCTCCTCCCCCTCTTCCCCCTCCTCCTCCCTCTCCTCCTCCCCCTCCTCCTCCTCCTCCTCGTCCTCGTGTTCTCCTCCTCCTCCTCGTTCTCCTCCTCCTCCTCCTCCGCTCCTCCTCCTCCTCCTCGTCCTCGTCCTCGTCCCTCCCCCTCGTCCTCGTCCTCGTCCGCGCCCTCGTCCTGATATTCCTAATCGTCTTCCCGATCGTCCTCCGCCTCGGAAGCGCTCCTGCAACCGCACGTCGCCGATGTCCTCGCTCAGCGCCCGGGCGATGGGACCGGCGCCGCCCGCCAGCGCCAGGCGCTCCACACCGCCAGCCCCTGCCGGGCGCGGCCGCGGGTCTCTCAAGGCGGGCAGGGACCGAGCGCACCGGGAGGAGGAGGAGGACGACGACGACGACGGCGACGACGACGGCGAAGAAGAAAAAAAACGACGACGACGACGACGACGACGACGACGACGGCGACGACGGCGGCGGCGGCAGCGACGGCGGCGACGGCAGCCAGAGGGAGGAGGAGGAGGAGGAGGAGGAGGAGGAGTGCACGTACTCAAAGAGGAAGAGACGAGGGCAAGCGGGCAAGAAGCGAGACGGGGAGGAGGAGGAGGAGGAGGAGGAGGAGGAGGCGGAGCGTCGCCGAGGGACAGTCTCTCCTTACGCTTGCCCTCGCTCTCGCCTCCGCCACGTCCCATCTGCGAGATCCGTGGCGAGGCGGGCGGCCTGGGCAATTTGAATTCCTCCTGCGGCGCTGGGCGATGGTTGGATCGCCTGCTGCGCGCGTGGAGGAGACGATGCAGATGATAGAAAATCACCAGTCTTCTGAGATGGGATGGCGTGCAAGGAAGGAGGGCAAGGCGAGCAGGGACGGGCTCAGGGGCAGGGGGGGGACCAAGGCGAGGGCCAGAGACCATGGCGACGAGCCAGTGGAAAGAGGGGCAGTGGATATAGTGAGCTAGGCTATCTCGGCACTCACAGCCGAGCAGGCAGCCTCTGTCGACATTACGCAGTCGGGTGTCCGTGACCCAACCCCCTGTCCAGGTGCGGAGTGCCGCAAGGCGCCAGGATGGGGGGGGACATCTCGAGCGCACCTCGCACCTCCGACCATGGGAACGCATGAGAACATTCAGGGACAATCCCGAACCATTTAATGAGTCGCTTCCGAATGAGGGGGAAAAGGGAGGACGGCGACGAGTAGAGGACGGGGAGAATACCTCGATTCAGGGCCCGCTGCACCTTAAACCGAGGCCCAGCTGCTGCACCACGGGCGCCCACCAGCCTGGGGCTGGGGCGTTCAGACCTCTGCGGTGCTGAGCGCTCCAGCACCGCCCTGCGTTCGGCCTCCAAGGACCTCAGCCCAGCAAGGGCCGCCGCGCGGTCGCGACCCAAGGAGCCCCGAGCTTCCGCCGCCTACCGCAGGGTCCACGCAACCGCCGGCTCCCGCCAGAAGGAGGACCAGGGACACAGCACTTTGGCACCCGTGGGCCCCCTCCAGCAGACCTGCCCCACGTGCAAGTGCGACCACGCCGTGTCTTCGAGGCGCTGGCATATGCGAGCACAACAATCTCTGAATTGGATGCCAGTCCTCATCATAGCGGCAAGTGCATTGCTCCGAAGGCTTTGGATCCTGGGCCCGCCGAGGGAGGGGAGGTCGAGGAAACAGGCAAAGGAAAGCCAGGATCCAAGGGCCCGAAAGACACGAGTGAGGATGTTTTTCAGCCTCCTACACAGCTGCTCAGAGGGATGGAACAGCTGAGACTTATACGAGAGCACACTCAGGGCACGCTCGTGGCACAGAACCACAGATGAGTGGGCGTCAGCATGCGAGCGAGCAACGTCTTTGACTCTAGCTTAAAGCTCAGCAGCAGGGGCCGCCCATGGTTGCTCGAGTGATGCTGCAGGGCCGACCGTGCATCCGAGGTTATCCAGCGTCGCTTCAACCTTAAACACCCGCCACTCGGGACACGCCGCTCCAAGCAGCTCGGAGGTGGGGTCACAGAGCTCCTCCGACCAAGGTGCCCAAAGCGGGGTGGCAGCACACTTAGCTGGTTTCAGCCCCAGGCGGGCAAGGCGTTGGGAAATTCTGAACACTCGCGCTAAGACTCTCAGGCCAGGCTCCCCCCACACCACCGCCCCCACATCGTCCGCACACCACCTCCCGATTCCCTTCTGAACGGCCTCGAGAGTGCGCTCTAGATCGCTACAAAAAGGATGCACTGCGAGGACGACTAGGCTGCCTGACGGGGGGTCTCCTTGCAGGACTCCTGCCAGAGTCCAGAGCATAATGGCCCGAGGTGGGTCAGCACAGAAGGTGGCAGCACGGTTGTAGTTGGCTCGCACGGCAGCAATTAGGGCCTCTGGAGCACCCCAAGCGGACAAGACCTCCCATATCCACGAGTGAGAGACGCAGGGGAAAACGTGGGCGTAGTCAAAAGCGAGGAGGAGAGGACGGGAACGCTCTGGAGATGGATGGTCTAGAGCCTGCATGCTCCCAATTCTCGCGAAGCTATCTAGCTCAATCAGATTCTCTATGAAGTGTCGACCACATATAAATCCTCTCTGGCTCGGTGCGATGACCTTTTGCACTGCTCTCTTTACGGGCCAGTTCAGCGCCGCGCTGATGGCCTTCGCACCTGCGTTGCGAAGAGAGAGCGGGCGAGTGTTGTCAGGATCACGCGAGACCGCATGCAGGTCAGCGGGCAGCGTGCCCTTTGGCAGGAAGATGCTGGTCGCGAAGTTGTAGTCCGAGCGCATGCACATGCCGTTCAGCATCCACTGCGGCGCGCGGTGGAGCACTGCAGCCCCGGAGGGCAGTGCCAGCCAGGAGGCCGCGGGGAGCCCGTCGGGCCCAGGCGCAGCAGGCCCGGCACGCCACAGGGCCAGGCGCACGTCCGCCAGCCGCGGGGCAGGCAGCTCGCCCCGGTCCGCCTGCGGGGCCCCGAAGCGCTCGAGGTACCGCTCCTGGAGCTTGGCCGTGCCCTCGCCGTTGGACACTCGGAGCTCCTCCACGGGGCAGAACACCTTGCCCCAGTGCCTGCCCAGCGCGTCGCGGATGTCCGAGGACTCCGTGAGCTCGGCACCGTCCACCCCCAGCACTGCGAGGTAGCGGCGTGCACTGATAGGCGCCCACGGCCGAACTCTTCTGCGGAGAGCTCGAAGCTGGGCACTCAGCTGCATCCTCCTGTTCTCGTCGGTATCCTGTCTGGTGTCCTCTTCCAGTCTCCGCCTCATGCTAGCGGCCTCCTTCCTCTGCGCAATGTTGTGCCTCCGCTGGGACTCGGAGTAGTCGATGATCTGCATTGCTTTGGCCTCCGCGTCGACCCGCACCAGGTCTCGCGCCCAGGCGTTCTGGGAGACCACCAGCTGCGCCAGACGCCAGTTCTGTCTCCAGTAGGCTCGAGCCAGCTGGCGCCATATGATGGCTGACGATCCCTTGGACCAGCCCTCCGACACGAGGAGCTCCTGCTGGACGTCATGGGCGGCGGCCTGCAGGATTCTCGCGTAGAACTAACTCGTACTCGTCGGGGGGCGAGAGGAGTTGCAGCGGCGCCACCCCCAGGTAGCCCTGAACGATCTCCTTGAAGCGGGGCCTCGCGACGATGTCCCGCGGGATGGCGGCTGGCATATCAGGGCCCCGCTGAGGTCGAGGACGCCGCGTCAGCGAGGCCACCACTAGCGAGTGATCGCTGACCCCGCGGATGTGTAGCCCCCGAACTTCTCCGCGCACCTGGCAGGACTGCCAGCCTTGGCAGAGCGCCCAGCGCGGGAGCCCCACAAAAATCATGTCTTTGGTGGTGCTGGTTCTGGTACTCGCATTCCAGTGAGTGGGCTTGCCCGCCATCAGCTCTGCGGCACCTCTCAGCGCGCCAAGCCGCTGGCGCTGGCCAGGGTTCCGAGCAAGGCGGGCCGCCTGCGACCCCGAGGGCGTCTGCGCAGGTGAGGGGTGAGGCTGCCCAGCGCCAAGGCCCTGCTGCATGGGGGTCTGCTGGTCCAGCACGAATGAATCCACCTCGTCGCAGTCGCCGAAGTTGAAGTCGCCCACTATGAACACTGCACGGCAGTCGGGAGCTTCGTGAGCCCATGCCAGGTCACGTCGGATACCCGCTGCAACTCGCCTCCGCTGCTCAGGAGAAAGATCATGGTTGTGTACATCCCAATGGACAAAACTGGACGGAGTCTCATTCGGCATCGCGTTCTCCGTGTGAACAGTGCCGAGAAGCCGAAAGATGCGCCCAGGAACAAGCTCATCTGGAACAAAATCGCAGGTGCAGCCGTCATTCGTGCCAGACACAATCGTCGCCACACCTCCCGCATCTTCTCTACCTCCTGCGATGCACGAGGTAAAGCAGTGAAACGTTCCCCCCGGCCCCCCGATCAGCACCTCCATGCTGGCCGAGGCGGCCCGTGTCCCTTGTAGCCCCAAATATCATTGGACCCTTTCCAATAGCGTTGGAGGTACTTGAGCTTCGTCTTGACCTTGCGGATGCCATGCTTCCCCGTCTGCTTGAGGGCCCTGCAGTTCCATGCACCGAGGTGGGTACTCTCGCCCTGGCCGCCCCAAGCGCGGGCCAGTCGGTCAAAGAGTCCACTGCTGGGCGCGCGCGGTCCGCCACGATCTGCAACGCCTGCTCCGTCTGGCCGATCGAGCGCACCGCCGCCAGGTTCCACGAGACCTGCGGCTGCGCACCTGGCGCAGCGATGGAGAGGCGGACCAGCTGCCTCCACTTGACCGCGATGGTGAACGAGTCCTTGTCCACGAAGAGGCGGTCTGCAATGTGCTCCTGCAGCTCGGTGCGGAGGCGCTTGAGCTGGATCTCGTGCGAGATCTGGGACTGGTTGCGGCCCTTACCCACGTTGAAGTGGACCCTGTTGCCATTCGGGAGCACCGCGGCGAACTCGCGCCACGAAGACGGGCCAGTGCAAAGGAGCTCCAGGAGCTTGCCGCACCGGCGCTCGGCGAGCCCCGTCGCACCCAGGCAGCGCAGCTTGAAGTGGCGGCCGATCTCCTCCCCCTCAAGCCGCGCGGCCTCGGGCTGGACTGTCGCCAGGTCCGCGTCGGCCAGCAGCTGCTGCAGCGCGTCCGCCACCGCAGTCTTCGGCACGTTGGCCCTCGCGGTGATCGCCAGGATCGTCGTGTCCACCGCGCGTGACCACCCCGCAGTGGTCGGTAACCCCTTCGGAGTCGTCGTCGAAACTGCCACCATCTCCGCCCTGAGATCGTCCATCTCCTGGCGCAAGGAGGCGAAGTCGCGCATCCTGTCCTCCATCTTCCCGAGGCGCTCGTCCACCCTGCTGAACCTCTGATCCACCACCTTGGCGAACTCCAGCTGGGACTGTTGGAAGATGTCCGAGAGGTTGCGTGTGTTGGCCTGCAGCTGCTCTCCCAAGCGCCGCCCCACGTTGGCCAGCATGCTCGACATCTCCTGCGACCCGACACTGGCAGCGGGCCCCGATGGAGAGGCGGCGGGCCTGAAGCGGCGCGAGGCTGCGGCAGCCCACGCATCAGGCGGGGCCGCTGGGTTAGCCGCAGGAGCCTCGGCCGCTGCCGCCGCACGCGGAAGCTCGGCGGGGCCAGAGGCAGCTCCACCGTCAGGTCGTCGCCCACGCCCGCCTTCGTCATCTCCACGCATACGTTGGCGCTGTCTCCTCCTCCGAGCGTCTCTGCGCCTCTGCTCACTGCGCGAGGTGTTGCGCTCGTCGAAGCTGCGGGAGGAAGAATCGCTGCTGCCAGCGCGACGATCGTCACCTCTAGCAGGCGGCGGAGGGGAGTCCTCCTGGGACTCGAGGATGCGGATCTCCTGCGAGGTGAGCTGCGGGAACCCCATTCCGCCATCTGCGAAGGAGTACTCTTGGCCCCAGCAGCGCGCAGCTCGACTGGGGTTGCCTGAATCGGGTGCTAGCCTCGGACTAGAGGTATCCGTTTCCAGCCCGAGGGACAAACTCATCTTGAGCCAAAATGGCTTGAGCCAAAGTGGCTACGGAAGGAGGAGGAGGAGGAGGAGGAGGAGGAGAAGAGGGGATTTCCAGGACCAGTGTGAGAAGTTGCTTCACCGATACCCCATGAAAGTGCATGTGCTCAGTATCGACGTCGCTGACAATAGAAATAAATATGATCTCACGTGCGGAAATACGCGCTTTGATTTGTCCTGTGCACACCCGCGCTGTCGGTGAGGTAGAGCAGCCAGCCTCCGTCTTTGAAGAGCCATCCCGCCTCCCTCTGGATTGAGAAGGCACCTCTGTAATTCTCGACTGCTTCGAAGGCCCAGCCCCCCCTTCCGCTCTCCAGGACGCCCAAGAACTCCCAACTCAGGATCCAAGTTCCCCAGCCCCCGATCCAAAAGACTTCTGGGGCTGAGGTGGGGGCGGGATTGATTGGCGTCCCTCCCCGCGGGGGGCTGGCGGCTCGGGGGGCTCGCCCGGCGGGGGAACCCATGCCGGCGGTGGCCCGAGCTTGCTCGGCTCCTCGTCCTCGGAGTCCACGGGGATCCCCGATTCGTCGTACGCGAACGAGTGATACCCGCACGGCGCCTGCGGTATGTGGACTGGGCAGGCCTCAGGCGCCGGCCAGCGGCGCGCCACTGAGAAGCCTGGTCGCCAGTAGCAGCCCGCCGCCCGGCGAGCTCGTGCGCCCGGCTGGCCCCCTCCGCCTTCGCCAAGCCGGCGAGGAGGTGGGCAGCCAGCAACACTGCGGGAGGGGGGGGGGGGGGGGGGGGGGGGCACCGCCGCTGCCACGCAGCGGCCAGCTCCTCCTCTCTGGGCAGCGGCGGCGGCGGCCGGCAGGGGCTGCGCGCCCTCCGCCTGCCAGCCAGGAGCCCCGCGGCGCGATGTCGCGCGCCCGGCGCCCACTTCCGGGTGCTCGCAGAATCTTGTGGGCCTCTGGAGTGGGCCTCCGGAGTCACCAGCCTCGGGCCAACTGAGGCCGACCCCCAGCTTGACCCAGAAAGGCGTGAGCCCCCAGCGGGGCAGGGAGAGAGAGAGAGAGAGAGAGAAAAAAAAAACAAAGCAAGGACAGAGGCAAGGAAAGGGAACCCGCACATCTCTGGGGGCCGAGACAGCCTAAAATTTAAAGCAAACAACTAAACTGAGCAGCAGCAGCAGCAGCAGCATCTGCGCCAGGCAACGATTTGCTCGTGTTTCACTAAACCAGCCAGCGCTCGTGCTAGACGGACCCCCCAGCGACCTCAGCGGGCCAGGCACTCTGCACCCGAAATCTGCCGCAGGCAGGGCCCGAAGCGCGCGCGCTGGAGGCTGAGGCCAGTCCGGTCCGGATAACGCAGAGGGGGAGCCGAGGAGCGCGCGGAGGAGCACGAGCGCGGGCAGAGCGGGCGGAGCGGGCGGCACGGCAGGCCGAGGACACGATCCAGCTCCTCGCCAGCTCCCCTTCGAATGTGCAATGAGAAACGTTCCTCTCTGGCCAGCGACCACCGCAAAGCGTGACTCCATCCTGATACCGAGAGCAACGCCAAATGCGGAACGAAAAAGGATTTTCCCTAAACAGCTTGTCTGGAAGGGCTCTACATGGGTTAGGCAACAAGGACTGCGGAATCCGCAGCCAGCCCCAGAATCGGTGACCCGATGGTCTCTCGTATGGTCTCCCACAAAGTCTCCCGAATGGCCTCCCGCATGGTTTCCTACATGGTTTCCCGTAGAATCTCCTTCATGGTCTGGCATATGGTCTCCCTTGTGGTCTCCCCATCTGATCTCCCGTATGCTCTGCGACATGCTCTCCCGCATGCACTCCCGTATGGTCTCCCGTATGGTATCCCGTGGCCTCCCGTACGGTCCCCCGCATCTTCACAGCATTATGCTCTTTTTACTTGTCACTCATGCTGTTCAGGCTCTTCTGCCGCCGGGGTAAAATCTCTGGCCACGGCGACCCTCGGCCACGAATGGGCTCCCCGGCCTCGCCCGAAGCCAGAGCCCTTCTTCAACACAGAGTGATCGGCTCTCGGCGACTTGGGTCCAAGAAGCGTGCCGACCGCACTGGGGCGCAGGAGGCGAATGCCGAGGGGGTAGCGCGCGGGGCAGGGAGGCCCAAGAGGGGGAGAGACCGCACTCCGAGCATGTAGCAAGCATGTGCCCCCTCCTGAACACAAAGTGGCCCAGCAGCAGCAGCTGCGCAGCAGCAGCAGCAGAGAGGCGGGCAGGTGACGGGGCGGCGCACTGCGACGGCCGACGCCCTTCTCGGCAGCTGCTGGCGGCGCCAGTCCTTCGGAACAGAGCAGCGCCAGCGCCGACACGGCCAGCAGCTGCAGCCTCTGGGCCGAGGCGTGCGCCAGCATCGCAGCCAGCAGCGTCTCCGTGGCCCCAGCCGTCACGGCCGCAGTCCTGCTGCTGAGCGGTCCCCCCCCCCCCCAAGCGCCGGGGTCCGACTTGGGACTCGCAGACTGCACGCCACCGACTGGAGGGAGGCCCGAGGCCACCCGAATAAAATCCCCGGCCCGCCGTCATTCGGCTGCGCCTGCGCAAGCCGACTGGGGTTGCCAGGGGTCCGACCACGACCAGTAGCGACGGCGGCAGCGGGGTATGAACTTGGGGGTCACGAAGGCCGTCGCAATCCCGTAATTGTCAGCTGTCCACTCGGATCTGCGGGATAGGATCTGCGGGATCGGATAGGTGATGATATTGAACTTCCAGCCATGATCAGCAAGAAGACGGGAGGTCGGCTCCTGTACTTTTCACCACAACGGTAGGCAGGAGCTCCTCCTTGCTTGCCGCAAGGCCATCGGGAACAAGCACCACGTCCGCATGAGAAGGGTCTGCGGGAGCACTTTTGAATGCCATCGGTGGGCTCAGCAGGTCCACCCTACTGAGAAACCTCGAGCTCCCCCGAAAGGCCACAGGTCCAAGGGCGGAGCGGCAGGGCCAGGGGCGAACGAGCCCGCGGACGAGAGGCGGCGCTGAGGGCATAATAAAGACTCCTGGCGTCATGTGACCCGTGCTGGACCTCCCAAGGGTTCTCCAGAGTTCTCCGGTTCTCCCTGGATTCATCTCGACTGCGTTTCAGTTGGGTTTCCTTTGGATTCATTTCCACGAGGTTTGCATCGATGTGCATCGATCTGCGTCGATCTGCCCGGCCCTGTCCCTGCATGTCGATTGGAGCCGAGTCGTCAAGCCCTCAGGCAGGCGCTCCTGTCGGCGCCGCACACGCGCACCAGGTTGCCGACGGCGGCGGAGGCGCATTCCTCGGCGGCCATCGGCGGGCGGAGGGACGCACGGCGTCGCGTGGGAGGGAGCTGCCTGGGCGGCCCGCCTCCCTGTCCCTCCCCATCCTCCCTCCTGCCCCCCCTCCTGCTCTGTTCTGCGGCTACGGGTGGAACCAACCCTGACACCCCAGGCAAAGGGCGCGCATGGCACGGCGCACCAGGACAGCTTGAGATCCGGCCGCGGGCAATTACCCTGCGCGTGCCCCGTTCCAGGGGGCCGGGTCCCAAATCGGGGGCAGTTTTGCGGGCGCCTCTCGGCAATGCCCCCGGCCGTGCTTTGTGTGCTGGCGTGCGTCAGGACCGACCCTGCAGCGTCACCCCTTCCTGGCACATGCGTAGACAAGCGCGCACACACGCACCGAGGCATACACGCGCGCGCAGGACGGGTGCCCCGAGGGAGGGAGTAGCGGAGGAGGATGCCCCGATGGGGCCGAGGAGGGATGGCTCCAAGGGGGGCGACCGAGGAGGGGAGCAGCAGACGGGACGCCCCGAGGGATGCGAACAAAGAGAGCAGGCTGAGGAGGAAGGAGGAGGGAGCAGCAGCCAGAAGGGAAGGAAGGAGGTAAGAGTAGAAGGAGGGCACAGAATGGGAAGAACCTGTGTGTTTTGCTGCCGATGATCCTCCCCCCTGCCTCCCTCCTACTCCCCCCTCCGTCTCATATTCCTTATCATGTGCCTCACCAATGCCGGCCTCACAACACTCCTAGTCATCCTCCACCATCCTCCTTCCCGAAAACCTTATTAACTGATAACGGAATATTCAACATGAGGATGTACATGTATAACGGGGTCAAGAGGGGACATAACAGCAGCAAAACAAATCCGCCTGCCTTCTTTCGGGGCCATCAGGCTCCGCGGCTTAGGCTTGTTCCCTGCTCCAGTTGCAGTTTTCCAGATCCCGAATTCATGATACTCGCGCCCCTGACGCCAGAATCCCTGGCAAATGTCGGCGGATTCGCACCCCCGAGGCCACAATCCCTCGTCCCTCGTCAATCACGCAATACTTGCGCCCCCAAGGCCATAAACCCTCGCAGGTTACGCTGCGATCGCGCTCCCAAGACCAGAATTCCCCATCAGTTATTGTATAGTCGCGTCTCGGAGGCAATACTCTCTCCTCAATTACGCGATAGTTGCGTCCCCGAAGCCACGATCCCTCGTAATTTAAGCGCTCTTCGCGTCCCCAAAATCATGGACCCTCGTAAAAGTAAGCAATATCCGCGCGTTCGAAACCACGCTGCTTCACGACGGCGCCCAGGCCTCACAACATAGCTCTTGCATACCCCATTATCCGAGAGAAGGGGCCGACGGCAGGGGGCAAAGCCCTTACGGGGGGGAAAAAAAAAGCAGCGCCCCACCTCTCTTTGAACTGCTGGCTCGTCTACCCCGTGCTCCTGAACTTCCTCCGCTTCCGCACTCCTTCACTCCTCGCCCGCATGCCGCAGATATGTCGCCATGCCTTCTCCTCATTCTCCAGCTCTGTGTCACTCCTCCTACGCGCAATGGTCCCCGTCATTCATTTCTCCCTCCTCGCTCCTCCGACGCATCCCTGGAGTGGCAGGTGGCACTGGTTAGACTGCAGGAGCGGGGAGGGCGCGAAACTTGAGAACAATGCAAAAAACACCATGATCCAATGCCTGCCGCGGTCTGGCAGGACCTCCCTCGAGTGTCAGGTAACACTGGCGAGGGTGGTGGAAACCTCATAAATGACACCGCGTTCTGGTGCCTGCCGCAGTCTGGCGGGGGTGCTGCGATGCCTACCGCGGTCTGGCAGAACTTCCCTGGAGGGGCGGGATGGGCACGAAAGCTTCTGAATAGATGGCATTCCGACAACTGCCGCGGTCTGGCGGAGCCTCCTCAGAAGGGCGGGAGGGGCACGGGACGGGTGGGAGGGGCACGAAAACTGATAAAGAATATGGCATTCGGAAACCTGCCACGATCTGGCTGGACCTCCCTGGAAGGGTGGCCATGAATGAACGTTCTGCCGACTTTCTTGTGGTAGAGGGACTGCAGAAAATTCATTGCGGACACTTGTAATCTTGCCGCCGCCGCCACCGCCGGCATGAAGTAAAAAAGGAGAATCGCAGAGCCAGATTGGGAAAGCGAGGCCATCATCACTTCATGCTCGATTCCATTACATGTATGATAATGAATCGTCCCTGGAAAAAACCGCGGCGTTCCTGAGTGATCCGATGCTCCAGGACAGGTTGACATCGAACCCTGCAGGCCTTTGCGGTAAACCGATTATCTGTGTTGATGATGCTGACGGGCCGTTTGCCCTGAGGAGAGGAAATCTTGACGCCGTCTGGTCCCCCCTACAATCCTGCCAGCTCTGTCAAAAAAAACCCTTTTTTCGGGGAGGAGGCCCTTCCCCCCCCTCCCTGCGGTATTGTTGGTAGGTGCGCGATCGGTCAGGGCGTCCAAGATGGGCCAAGATGGCTCCAATAAGGCCTCTAAGTTTCCAAGATAACCTCCAAGATGACTGAAGATAGCCGACGGTGGTTCCAGATAGCTTCCGACATACCTCCAAGAGCTCCGACGAAGGCCACAAAACAAATCCAAATGCCCTCGGAGCCCCCTTCAGCAACCCGTAGGAGGCACAACTACATCAAAACTACGAACACCAAATGGTATGTGCATTCTGGTAGTTTCGCGTTCGATGCGCTTTTTAGGCATCAAAACGGCCCCAAGATGGCCCAAGTGGGGCCCAAGAGGCCGCCCAGACGGCCCCAAGAGCGCCTGAAAGCGGCCCAAGAGCGCCCCAAGAGGGCCCCAAGAGGCGACGTTGATGGCCCCAGGGGGGCGCAAATTTGGGAGCCCCTTCTTGATCGATAGCCTCCAAGATGGCCTCAACAGGCCCTCCAGGGCTCCCAAGTGGGACCCAAGAAAGCCCCGAGAGGGCCCCAAAACTGCCCCAAGGCGGCCCCATGAGCGTTCAAGAGCGCCGCGATAACGTCCAACGAGGGCCCCAGGAAGCGGCTTGCCTCCTCCTCCTTTTCCTCCTCCTCCTCCTCCTCCCCCTCCTCCTCCTCCTCCTCCTCCTCCTCCTCCAACCGCTTCGGCCCAGGCGATCCTGGGCTTGCAGCTGCCGTCTTCAGAATGGCAATCGCCGCTGCGGGCCTTTTTGGCAACTTTCAGTTTGGGGGATCTCAACCCGCACCCATTCTCGGCTCCACGTGCTTGTGCATGGGGCCCCCGGATCCCGATGTCCTTCCAGGCCCGAAGTCGCCGATGTGGGGATGTCCTTCGTGTGGACGCAATTCCCATGTCGCGAGTCGCATCAAGTGTTTGCGTGGCTAGACGGCGCCTCAGAGTGTCATCGACCAGGCGAAGAAGAGGGCCTTTGAGTCCACTCCTCGTCAGAATGGCGGCCAACGTGCTCCTGGTGGCGTCTGGGCTCGGGGACCTCCAGCGGACACCTCTGCTGCACGCCACCTTGGCCAGCTCCAGAAGCAGATGGAGGCTTCTGCCAAGCAGCTCAACGGCTCATTACCAGGACTGCGACCCCCTGCTGCCGCACCAGTCGAAGCTGGCGCTGCTGACGGAGCGGACACCGACGATGTAGGGCGAGCGCTTCTTGCCAGAATCAAGTCCCTGGAGGGTACCCTGCAGGGAGTCAAGAATGAGAACACGTTCCCCAGTAGAATCAAAGAGTCCATGGAGAAGGAGCTCGCCGATGCGCGCAAGGAACTCAACCGCACGAAGCCGCCCTCGTCGAGGCACGCGGCCCTGGGGCACGAGTTGCAGCGGTCCACCGCCAGCTCGAGAAGCTCGAAGATGACATCAAGTCTCAGCAGGCTTTCCTCGCTGCGGCGAACAAGGAGCGGGCGGAGATGCAGGAGAAGGCCAGGCCTGCGCGGGTGGAGATCGAGGCCACCAAGGTCGAGCTGCAGTCGACGATGCACAAGGTCGCCCCGCCCGCCGAGCCTGCGCGCGCCCTGGATCAGGACGCGGTCAAGGGCAAGCCTGACATGCAGGCGTTCATGGCCTCTCCGCAGTTCCAGGAGCACCAGCGATTGCACGAGGCGCAGTGCAAGGCCCGGGCAGTCCAAGTACCTACCCCTTTCAGCTCGGGGCGGTCCTGAGGGCCCTGATGAGGTGCCCCCCCCCCCCCCCGAGGGCAGTGCCGGGCCGCCTATTCCTGGGGAAGACCAACCTGTCCCGATGCACGATGATGACTGGGACGATCCCACTGAGGAGGGCATTGATCAGTTGCTCCAAGCCGCCAAACAGGAGGAGGATGGCAAACGAGCGCTCTCAGAGCTTATCCAGCGTTTCGGGTTTCGCGCTAGGGAGCAAAAGCGTGAGTGACACGATGTGTCGATGTTACCTCTCTCCTGCACAGGTGCTCCTGTTCCACCCCTGAAGGGGGCACCCTGCAGGTCTGATATTGATGGGAAGTATTGCATCGAGAGTTTCAATGGCTCGTGCTGGGCCACGCTCAAGCGCCGCCTGCAGGAGAGCACAGCCATTATCCTCTGCGCGCAGGAGGTGGGCACGAGCGCTGCCTGCGTGAGCAGGGTCACCGCAAAGGCATGAGTCTCGGGTGGCGCGCTCCATTCCAACCTAGTTACCTCAACCAGGAGACGGGTAAACTCTCGGCGGGGGTGGCGACCTGCGGGCGTCTCAGCATTGGCCTCAGTTGGCCTCCTGAAGGGGATGCTCCTGTGGCCCCACGTCGTATCGTCCAGGTCTTGGTGGATTTCCCTGGATGGCCTCCTCTATCCCTGTACCCGGCGTACCTTGAAGCGGCGGAGGGGCTGGGATCGGTCAACTTGGGTCTCGCGGCGGCTCTAGGCAGGCCCATCACAGACCCAACGCACGCGATCCTTCCTGGCGATTGGAACATGTCACCGAAGGTCCTGGAGAGCTCGGGCTCCACGTGCCGCCTAGCAATGCTGACCATGGCATCCACGATGCCAACATACCGCTCGCCGACGTCGAGCTCCACGATTGCTTTATTTGTCATTGGCCCTGGAGTCGC